TTTTTGAAGATGGTAGATTTGGCCCTTTCTCAAATCTAAACACGTGTATTTTGTATTGGACGTCTATCGATTTGGAAAGTGTTTGGGCTGGAGATTCTTGCCCATATCAGCATTGTCCAAAGCGACAGACTACAAAAAGTGAAATAGAGGTGTGTAGATTTGAGAAAGGGCCAAATCTAGTATCTTCAAAAAGTCCACTAAGCATAGTTTAAGATCCCGACACCAAAACCGCGGGTGTAGTGCATATATAAACGCGAGAAACTTACTAGAGAAACGAAAGTTTATATGGGCGAGAATCTCTCACCCAAGCATAGTCCAAATCGATAGATTTCCGGAAGTGAAATACACGTGTGTAGATTTGGGAGAGGGCTAAGAGTAGCATCTTTAAAAAGTTAGGTAAGCATTGGTTGGGATCCCCGCACCTAAAACGCGAGTGTTGCGCATCTCTAAACGCGCGAGAACTTACGAGTGAAAAGAAAGTTAATATGGGTGAGAATCTCTAACCCAAACACTGTGCAAATCGATAGACTTCCACAAGTGAAATGCACGTGTGTAGATTTGAGAAAGGACCAAACCTAACATTTTTAAAAAGTCCAGTAAGCATAGTTTGAGATGCCGACACCGAAAATGCGAGTGTGACGCATCTATAAACGCGCGAAAACACGCGAGAGAAAAAAAATATAAATGGGCAAGAATCTCCAACAAGTGAAATACACTTGTGTAGATTTGGGGGAGGGCCAAAACTAGCATTTTTAAAGAGCCCCGTAAGCATAGTTTGGGATCTTTAGACATAAAACGCGAGTGTGCCGCATCGTTAAACGCGCGAAAACACGCGAGTGAAAAAAAGATATATTTGGGCGAGAATCTTTAACCCAAGCATTGTCCAAAGCGACAGACTTCCACAAGTGAAATACTCGTGTGTAGATTTGGGGGAGGGCTAAAAGTAGCATCTTTAAAATGTTAGGTAAGCATTGGTTGGGATCCCCGCACCTAAAACGCGATTATGGCGCATCTCTAAACGCGCGAGAACTTACGAGATTAAAGAAAGTTGGTATGGGCGAGAATCTCTCACCCAAGCACTGTTTAAATCGAGAGACTTTTACAAGTAGATTTGGGGGAGGGCTAAAAGTAGCATCTTTAAAATGTTAGGTAAGCATTGGTTGGGATCCCTGCACCTAAAATGCAAGTGTGGCGCATCTCTAAACGCACGAGAAACATTTTCGAACCTCGCTTGATCTTTCAATACTCAACGAGCTCTTCGAGTCTCTTCAACAGAGCGTGAGTTCGAAATCTCTAGACGTAGCGTCAACAAGAACTGTAAGCTACAATACACGTGTGTAGATTTGGGGGAGGGCTAAAAGAAGCATCTTCTAATGTTAGGTAAGCATTGGTTGGGATCCCCGCACCTAAAACGCGAGTGTGGCGCATCTCTAAACGCGCGAGAACTTACGAGAGAAAAAAGAAAGTTGATATGGGCGAGAATCTCCAACCCAAACACTGTGCAAGTCGATTGTTTCCCACAAGTGCAATACACGTGTGTAGATCTGGAGAGGGCTAAAAGTAGCATCTTTAAAAAGTTAGGTAAGTATTGGTTACGATCCCTGCACCTAAAACGAGAGTGTGGCACATCTCTGGACGCGCTAGAACTTATGAGAGAAAAGAAAGTTGACATGGGGAAGAATCTCTCACCTTATGAGGGGACGCAAATGACTTCTACTGTAAGTATCTACTCCCGTTTTTTTTTTTTTTTTTTTAATTTTATGAGAACAGGGCTGTATTCCTCTAAGACTGTGGGTGTAATTCGTAAAAACACTGAGTTCTTATAAATCGTTTAGAAATTCTTCGTTCCAGTTCAAACTTATGTTGCTGGCACATGGGTTGGCACTTTATATGTAAACCGTGATGTAAGATACCTTAAACTATTTTTACTGTTCATGATGCACTGCTGCGTTAGTCTGCTTTATAAATATTTAACTGCTCTGGTCGAGTTTTTAATTTCAATATGATTAATGCGTTCCTGATAATAATGATGCAAAGTTGTCAATTTTAGGAATTTAAATTTGAAGACAAGGTCCTGTTAGTACCTTCTTGTTACTTGATGAAA